TACCGACCGTACGTACGTACCGTACCGTACCGTACCGTACGTACGTCCGTACGTACCGACGTACGACGTACGTACGTACGTACGTAGACGAGAGAGAGAGAGAGAGAGAGAGAGAGAGAGAGAGGGGGAACTCAATTTTCTTTTCCCGAACTTTTTAATATACGGACTTCACGACCCCTTTTTAGCCGTTAGATGTAAAATTTAGCGGCTGGAGGTGTGCTTATTTTTCAAGCTTAGCACACCTCAAGGCAAGGTTTAGAAACACGGTTCGGTAACTCAATCGTCCCTATGGCAAGCCAGTTTGGATCAACAGCCAATTCCCATCTTTGTGAGCTCTTTTTATGATTCCATTCCCGTCTTTGAATATTTAACCTTTTAGTGAAAGAATTTAGGGCATACATATACGGAGGATTGCATTTGCACTTTGGAAAAGGGCTCGGGTTGTGGGGTAACACACCCACACTCTAGTCATTATGTTGTGATTTTTGTTTTATTAACATCATCTTACTAAAACTTAAATAAATAAAAACTCTTTTTTTTTATTAACATGACCTCACTAAAACTTAAATAAATAAATAAATAAATAAAAACTCTTAAACTATTTAAAAAAACAGATAGAAGCATGTCTTCCCACTTAATTACCCCAAAAAAATTTGTTAGAGGCCGCTTGATAAAAATGTTATTATATACCTTCTTAAAAAAACATGAAAAGAGAGAAGTGTTATTTCTCTATGGAAAGAAAGAGAGACATTAAAAATTAAGGTACGTGAATTCATAGAAAGATTGCATTAAATTGAAAGAAAGGGTTAGGAGATAAAGGGGGCCTCCTAGAAGGAGAGAGAAGCTAATTTTAAGTGAGAGCGAGTTTTTGGTAAAAAAAAGCCTTTTTAATGTATCTAGAGAAAGATTTAGCAAATGTTATAATCTTAGAGAGAGGGTGTGCAGAGAGAAGGCATTCTTATTGCAGTCCCATTCTAAAGGGGTATTTTTTAGTGGGGTAGATTGTTGAAGGAGAAGAAAGATTTTTTTCTAGAAGGCATTAGAAATCATTTATTATTATGATGTAAAAAGAATTATGTCTTTTTGGATCGGTAATCCAAAAAAATAGAGCAATTGAGAAAGACGTCGCACATAAGTTAGTTAGGTGAGCGAAGTAGAGATGTGCAACCGGAATTTTATACGATCGCCGCATACCAACTGTGTACAGTTTGTATAGAGCCAACGATCAAAACAATCAAAGTAAAAGCACACCTTCAAATAGTATCCAGAAATGTGGTTTCAATACTGAAAATCTTTGTGATAGCCCTAAAATATATTTTCATCTTTAATTTTAAAATTTAAAGCTTCAAAAATAAGGTAGATTGAGCAGATCTATGAAAACTTGAAATTCTTGGAAATAAACAATCCAAAAATACGTTACAAGATGCACTATTTTTAAAACTTGAAATCCATTTTTTTCTCATTTCCATGCATCTTAATGTCGAGATGATCAATTTGATGATATTTGGGCATCAAAACAACTTTTTCTAGTAAAATTTTTGAGGTGAGCTCCAATTTGATTGTTTAGAGCTTACGCTCTATATAACCATTTTCCCTCAAAAAAAAAAAAAAACCCTTTTTTCTCCATTGGTCATTTCAAGATGGAATTCATTTAAAAAAGGCTTTTGAGACAGGAAAGGGGGATAACCAGAAGAGGAGACCCTTTTTAGTGATAAATAAAGGGCAAACATTTGATCCACCACTGGACAGTACCGGCATTCCCCATTCTAGAAGTTTTCGCCATACATTTGGCTATCCATTTGGTCTTGTCAAAAAAAGATGATGAAAAGGTTATTAAAAAAAAGATTTGAGTAAGAAAATATAATGAATTTTAATATGCCAAACTTATCAAAATAAATTCAACTTTTTAATATTCTAATAATTTATCCCTTTTTCAACTATTCCAAACCTTGATTATGTTTATTTTGACCGGTATTTTAGAATTATATCAAAAGATTTTAGTAAGACGTTAAATAGTCAACCTCATTTACGTATTTTGATCAATTTTCTTTTTATTTTTGACAAAATAAAAGAAAAATTGATTCTAGGCTCAGCCCTAGCTAGAATCTAGGGCTGGGCTAGTGCCAACCTCGGATTAGCTTTTTGTGAGGCCTATAAAAAACGTATGATATTAGATCCAAGGGAATTAAGTTAAAAATAAAATGGGATTGCCTTATTTTCATCGTCTGGTGAAATAATTAAGAAAGGAAACAATATATATATAAAGTTGCATCCTTATACTATAGATGTAAAATACACCTCAAAAAAACGATAGAAAAGACTGTTCCGTGGTTAGAAAACCTTTCAAATAATCATCGCAACCTTGAGAGGCATCGATACATAGAAAAAGAGAATATCAAGTTTTAAAAATAGTGCATCTTATAATAGATTATTTGGACTGTCTATTTCAAGATTTTCAAATATTTTTAGATCTATATCGAATTTGAAATTTTAATTTTTATAACTAGGGTTGGATATGGATTTTCAAATCATCATAAGGTTTTTGACACAAGATCTTCATACAAATTCTGAGGCAAATTTTAGAAGTGCACCTTATTTCAGAGTATAAAGTGAGCACCTCATACAAACCTCAACCTTAAAAAAAAAAAGTGTGGTTTGTAAAAGGCCAAGGCCCGAAGAATCAAAGTAAGGTGCAACTTTATATAGTGTCGAAAGATGTTGTTTCAAGATTGAAAATCTTTGTGGTGACTTGATATTTTATTTTCATATCTAATTATAAAAATTAAGGCTTAAAAAATAATGTAGATCAAGCAATCTATGAACAACTAAAAATCGTGAAAGTTGACCGTCTAAAAATACCTTACAAGATACGCTATTTTTAAATCTTGAATCCAATTTTTCTCATGTTCATCCATCTTAAGGTCTACATGATCAAATTGAAGGTTTGTGCATCGAAACAACCTCTTTTAATAAAATTTTTGAGGTGCGCACCTTGAATTTAATTGTTTAGGGCCTCACCCTCATAATACCTTTTTCCTTAAGAAAACCATCTTGGAATATTCAAAGAACTAGTCTAGTCACCTATGAAATAGACTGGTCCCATAAAAAAAAAAAAACTAAAATCTTCAAATCCTTTTAAAATTCTCTCTTTCTAATAAAAAAGGTACCAGATTTAGGGTGAAAATGTATAATTGAAATTAAAATCCTTTTAGAAACTTTCTCCTTCTAAAAACAAAGGTGCCATATTTAGGGTGAAAATGTATAATTGAAATGAAAAAAACTTTTTTTTTAAGAGATAAAGGTGTGCTTCATTAAAAAAAAAAAAAGCATATAAATAGAAAGATAAAAATGAGGAAGAGATTTGGTCAAGAGAGTGGGCCAAATGTGGACGGTTATATTGGGGGAATGTGATGTCACACACTAAATAAATTAGGGTTTTATGTCCCTTCCTTCAAGATAAGGATGCATTCCACTGTCCACGCATTACTCGTCATCCTATTCAACTCTTTTGTTGCTTTCTGATTATATTTCCACTCCCGCCCTTTTTAATTAGAAATTATTAGAAATTGTACTACGACTTATATTTTAACACTTGTAATTTATGTTCTCATGAGACTTGAGGAAAATGTTAAAAAATAAGAAAAAAAAATCATTTCGTTGTCGCTCATCTATGTCATCAATCTTGATTTGCCATTTTTTGCTGCTTGCATGCCCCCTTAACCCATTTACTTTATGTGATTGGGTTAAAATAAAGGTTGTGAGATATTTTTTAAGGAAAAGTTCATTTTACCCCTCATCTTTAGTTAAAGACAGTTTTGACACATATTGCATTTAAGGAAAAAGTATATAAATGTGATCATTAACCTTTGTTCACAATCATTCTAGGTTATTAGATGTAAAATAAGGTGATTGACATGTTGAGCTAAAAAGTCGAGAAAAAATAATAATAATAATTTGTTGACACATCCTAAGCTATCAGATTTAACATTTATGTTAAAAGTGATTGTGATCTTCTAAATTAAGAAGATTTTTGGTCCTTGGTAAGACCTTAAACAGTATTCTATGAGCCTCTTTGACCAAAATATGCAAAGATAGATGCCAAGCCAAATGGTCCATTGACAAATACCACTATGCTGGAAACCATGAGATTAACAAATAGGGTGCAGTTGGCATACAGATGCATCCGTAGCTGTAGAGGTAAGGTGCACCTTCAAATTTTATCATGGTATATAATTTTGATGTTAAATATTTTTAGAATTATCTTAAAATCTATTTTTATATCTAATTATAAAATTTTACATTTCAAAAATAGCTAGAATCAAGTAGATTTATAAACATAGGAAAATCTTGAAAATGGACGGTGTAGATAATATGTTGTAAAATGCACTATTTTTGGGATATAAAATCTTTT